AGAGTACGAGAATACAGTCTTCCGTAGAAGCTGCGCGTGTGTGTTTGCCATTGTCTCACATTGCCACACACACAGGCATTCATAATGGCCAATAGCGAGTTTCACACTATGTGTGTGTGTGTGTGTGTGTGTGTTTTGTTTCATCAAAGGAAATTCAACAGGTGCCAATCTACCAGCATTAGGCTACCATTATAGGACGTTATAAAATATACTGCGCCGGAATAGACTTTAGCCTATAGGAAAACCAACCCGGAAAACACTTTTCAGACTGGATGGAGAAATCCAGCTTCATGAATGAATGAATTAATGGGGCATTTATATAGCGCTTTCATATGTCTATAGGCCTACACTCAAAGTGCTTTACAATCATATCAGAGAATCTCTCCTCAACCATTAGTGGTTATTAAATCTGAGGAAATCACAGGATCCGGCCAAATGATTGGATACAGAATGATGCACTTAAAATGTATCCAGAGCGTATTTACGGTGAAGAGGGAGACCGAACGGTTACTGTTGTGTTCTCGATCCAGATAGTGTTGACTAGATGAGCATGGAAACACCTCAGAAACACTGACACTAGTACGTGTGACGAGGGTAGAATTTTGTTGAAAGCCCAGATAAAAGTAAAAAGCTACAATGTTTCGACTTTAATCTCGAAATGCTAGATTTTTTTTACTTCCGTTTTTTTTATTTTTTTTTTATTTTGCGGTTCAGGGCTTCTGTAAAATTAAGTAGTTTATCTGTGTAGTTTTCATTTTACTTTTACCTAAGTATGTTTCGTTTGAAAATGTAATGAAGTACAATACTTTAATCACATCAAGTGCAAGAGGACATCAGCTTTATCTCGCAGTGTAAGCTGTGGAAAATGCTGTATGAAGTTACTGCGAGTGCAAACTGAACATCTCCTGCTGCTGACGCTTCACACTAAAGGCATTTCACTGGAGAAACACAAGATGACTTTTATTATGAAGAGGTCACAGGAGATTACTCTCATTCATCACAAATGTGTCTACACAACAAGACAACCGTCATAGTCTAATAATAATAATATTAATGAAGCCAAAACATTTTCAAAATGTCTCATTTTAAAGGTGCCCTAGAATGTTTTTTTTTAAATTATTTTATAATGTTTCCTGGGTTGGCCTTATAATGTTAGTATGTTTTTTTAGATCAAAAATAGTCATAATTTAGAAATAAAAGGCATTTTTCCTAGCCTGATTTTAGCCTGTCTGTTTGAAGGGGCGTGTCTGCTGTGTGTAACCGGCCTCTGCTGTGATTGGCTGACATGCTTGCATATGTAATAGTATTACATGTGAAACTCTTTCGAATAATTTTACTACGGCTATTATAGGTTTTTACTATTACAGCTATCGAGATTAACGAATCGTGAGATGTTTTTTAAGTATTTAGATCTATTCCCATCACATAAAGTGTTGCTGTGATGAGCATTGAGCAGCAGATGACAGTGTACAATTGATAACACGCGTTTAATAAAATACCTTTTTTTTGGACACTCCATCTAGGTCAAACAGCATACTTTGTTTCACGGACACACCTGTATTACAGTTTGCACAGTCTTATTTTTTTTCTTGCCAAAACAAAAATTATTTATTTTGTACGGGGAAAAACCCCGATTATATAAGCTAACTATCAAAATACAACAAATTCCAACTGAAAATGGAAATCAGTCTGTCAAAACAGGTGCTCGCCTGATTATGACCATATAGGCTACTCAATCAAAGCACAATGTTGTGGAATTAAATAAAGTAATGGCATTATGACAACTGCAGTGTTTGTCATTATAGCCCCTTTCACACAGAGATTACAGAAAATACACGGATAATGTGACCCAGCATTTGTCCCGGAATTGTTTGATTTCGGTTCATTCACACTGCCAGTGATTTGCCGGGATCGGTGAGTGCGTTCACACACAACCCGTAAAAATCCCGGGAAGACACATGACGTCAGGATGAGACGTATAACGGACGCGTCGAAAACATGTAAACGCGCATACCGTACACGCACTGGTGAGCGATCTCAGCTTCAGTACGGATAGAGAGGAGCTCCTGGTCTCTGCTTCGCTCCAGTTTGCAGGTATTTGTTCGTCCTTTCTTTGTTGATGACGAACACAAACTTTCTTCTAGAGCAACAGAGTCGCGCGATGGCACGAGCGTCATCACTATGACACACCCTTTACGGCATTGGTACTGGCTTTTGTTCACACAGCGCGCGTTCCGGGACTGATTCCGGCAATGTTACTAGGTCCCCAACCCGGGATCAATCCCAGAATCAATCCCAGGTCGTGTTTGCGTTCACACAGAAGGCGTTCTGGCAATTTCCCAGCAATTTCCTGGGATCAACTTGCTGTGTGAAAGGGGCTTATGTTTATTTCAGAAGACAATATGAAATCCATAGTTTTTTTGTCTCCTTTCTTTCACCCCTAATTGCTTGTTGACTATTTAATGTATGCAGTAGGGGTTTCACAACTACTGATTTTTGCTAGTCGACTAGTTTTGCATAACTATTTAACTAGTCGTTAAATGGTTTATTCTAGGGGTGTGCGATATCACGAATAGTAAATGTCTCCACGATCTGCTTTTGAAGAAATATGGTAGTAGTATCGTGTTACAGTGCATTCTATCAGTTCTGGCACCTCTGTCTCAACTGTACAACAACGTGACGTAGCCTAGACATCACACGTTAAGCAATAGGTACGGGACACTGCAATTCACAAAAGTTCATTATTTGCATAAGCCTTCCCGGTTAAACATTTAATTCACGCGCTGTTCTAACGTGCGCTTTCCTGAGCGCGCGGCATAAGTTAACCCCGACGCTCACAGGCACTAGAAGCCTGTCAAACAGCGCCTGAATACTGGACTAAGTTATCTTTCGAGTCTTGTTATGCTAATACTGTTAAATACACACAATGTTTGACATAAACAGAATCGGCTATGTCTAAAGTGAAAGCAAACATTTGAGAGAAAATCTGGTGTAATCTGCGTCTATATTAAACACGTCGCGTGCTAGTCCAATAAAAGCGAGAGTCCTATTCGTATTTTCCGCACTATAAAGCGCACTTAAAAGCCTTTAATTTTCTCAATCCGGCCTTTTCTCAAGCTTTATAATCCGGAGCGCATTATATATGGATCAATTGCTCGCGCTCGTGATCTTATGCCCGCTTCGTCACACGGCCAGTTCAACCTCGTAATCAGGTTATGTGTGTCTCCCGCTCACGAGCGCTCTCTCTTAACACACACACACACACGAACAGACACACTGTCCCCGGTGCTGCTCGCGCGTCACAGAATGTGCATAAAGTTCAGACTTTTCCTGTCTGCTAAAAGAAAAACACCTGACAAAAGGCAGAATGTGACATATAAATAGAAATTGACCGAAAAACAGTCTGAAATCTGAGAGAAAAATGTACAATTACCCTTTTATATGTTCAGTTCAATAAATAACCTTTCATAGATTCCACATAAGGGGGGAAAACATAACGGTGCAGTCTGGCACACATCCTTACTCCTGCCCTGTTCTTATGCCTTCTCCTGGTCCATCTATGACTCTCCTTCTTAACCTATTCTTGACTCTTACTCAGATGTTTCTCTCTCTGCTTCTCTGTGTTGAACATCCACGCTTATCAGAAGCAATTCAGACACTCTGTGTGTGTGTGTGTGTGTGTGTGTGTGTGTGCGTGTGTGTGTGTGTGTGTGTGTGTGTGTGGCCAAGTAATGTGAAGAACTTCAACACCTGACTATGTGTCTGACTGAGAGTGGGATCAGCTATTTCTCAATATTTCACTCATTTGTTATCTAAAACTACTTATCTGGTGTCTCAGTAATGTATTTCCCCCCAGTACTTCAATACTTGATAAATGTGAAGAGTTGTGATTTAATGAGAGGACATATGCAGTGCCGATAGTGAGTTGATTGAAGGACAGGCATGTAGATTTACAGTGTACTATAACATATAAATGGAAAATATGGCCATTGCTTAATAAAGGGGTAATACAGATCAGTGGTTCTCAATTGTGGCCCTGGGGACCCACAGCTGTGCATATTTTATATGTCTCCTTTATCTGAAACACCCAATTCAGTAACTTATCTTTACTAACGAGATGATGATGTGAATCGGGTGTGTTAGATGAGGGAGACACAGAAACTATGCAGAGCTGTGGCTCCTCAGGACCACGATTGAACCAGTGCTTTAGATGGACCCTGTAAAGGTGAGGGAGCTAAAAAATGTTCTTCTTCATGGACCATATCCTCCTGGATGTTCCAAAAAGGAGAAGTTCATTATTAAAAGAAGAGCTGAAAGCTATCTAACGAAAGGTAAGCAATAATAGAGAAAGGAAATTGGTATTCTAGTGACACAAGCACAGGAAGTTACCTGAGCCTTTGTGTTATCCACATTAGATGGCCTGCTTCACTATATATGCCACAGGCGCAAGCGAGGCAAACATTTGGCAAAAGTGGTGACGTCACCAGAGGAGGCAAATTCTGCTTTTGTTAACCTTCATGCCAGTGATCAGGGGGGTCATTGTGGCATGGAGAAAACACTTGAAGCTCTCAGCAGCAGATTATACTGGCCTGGATTGGAGAAAGACATCCGCAAATGGGTGAGTTTTATTACAGTTTAATCATTTTTATTTTCGTTACACTTTATTTGCATTTGTCCGTGTTAAAGTGAAATTAAAGATTTAAGTACTGAGTAATATTAAGTAACCACATGTACTTACTGTTTTGTTTTTTTTGAAAGGATTAGGATTTGGTTGAGGGTTAATTGCATGTAATTCTGCTTGATTTATAATTAATACTATAGGTAATACATGTAAGGTGTGTAACAAGGACACATTAAAATAAAGTTTTACTTGTATTTGTGGCACATTACTTTAAACCCAAATCACTACAACGTTTAAGGCAATACATTAAACCTTGTAGATAGCGCAGTGCCCTGAATGCCAGGCCAGAAGGTCTACATTGAAGGAAAAAAAAGCCTACATGCCAATAGAGGTGAGTGTACCAAATGACAGTGATGTTGCACAATTGTAAAACATGCTTATTATCCTTCTATATGACTTATATACCCTCTCCTCCCCCCAGACCACACAGCCTCTGGAACTGGTGGGAATGGATTTAGTTGGGAAATTGACTACAACCAAAAGTGGGAATCAATACATTTGCGTAATGATTGACTACTTCACTAAGTGGACAGAGGCCTACCCACTTAAATCAAAGTGTGCAGCAGAAGTGTGTGAGTACATTTTAGATTTTTTCTACAGATTTGGAGCTCCACAAAGAATTTTAACGGACCAAGGCAAAGAGTTTGTCAATAAGGTAGCAGCTTTTTGACCTAAGTTGCTTGTGTTGTTTAAACTAAGGTTAATTCTCATTTGTAATTATACGGTACTCTTATTTTCTCAGATTAATTTTGACCTTTGTCAGAGGTTGGGTATTAAAAGGAGCTTGTGCTCCCCATACCACCCACAAACCAATGGCCTTGTGGAGAAAATAAATGGAACCATACAAAGGTGTGATGCGTACCTGGATTGTTAAGCTGCATAATTTTCACAGAGATAGTAATAACATTATTTACCTTTCAGAGTTCTAACAAAGTTGGTGGGTTCAAATGCGGAGAGCTGGGACCAACACCTCAAGGCTACTTTATTTGCAGTGCGGACCAAAAAGCAGCTAACAACACAGTTCTCTCCATATTTTCTAATGTTTGGTCGGGAGGCAAGATACCCTTTAGAGCTTTCCGACAATTATGAGGTGGGTTCGTAAATATCACATGCATCTCCTGTATAGTAAATCTTTCACGACTGATATCAGTAATTTTAGGAGTGTTTGTGTTTTGTTTATTTCAGATAAATGATGATAAGGTGGAGAGAATAGTGGCATCCCAATATTTGGCACCTGGCCTCCAAGGCCTGGCGAAAGTGCACAATGTGGTCTTGGAGAATGTAGAAAAGGTCAGAGAAAAGGTGAGGAAGAGGAAGGCTCAGCAGGGGCAGGACGACAGATTAGAAGTCGGAGACAAAGTTCTGCGCAAAAACATTCGAGAGGAGCAGCGAAAAGGAGGAAAAATGGGCAGTGCCATGCTGGGTCCTTTTACCGTTATTAACATTGAGGGTAAAGGTGTGGACCTAGTTTCAGACAAAGGAAAGGCCATTCTGAGGGTAAATGTGGACCACCTTAGCCGTTACATTGAGCCAGAGGCCAGGTTGCCACACAAATGGCCTAAAATGGCTACCATCGCAATTCCTGCCCAGTGCCCTCCTACATGCACATTTCTGTGTCCCCAGTCCCCGCCTGCAAACCCACTCCAGTCCATGCCTGCAAACCCACTCCAGTCCCCACCTGAAAACCCGCTCCAGTCCCCGCCTACAAACCCACTCCAGTCCCCACCTGCAAACCCACTCCAGTCCTCGCCTACAAACCCGCTCCAGTCCTCGCCTGCAAAGCAACTCCAGTCCCCGCCTGCAAACCCGCTCCAGTACCCGCCTGCAAACCCGCTCCAGTCCCCGCCTGCAAACCCGCTCCAGTCCCCGCCTGCAAACCCGCTCCAGTCCCCGCCTGCAAACCCGCTCCAGCCCCTGCCTGCAAACCCGCTCCAGTCCCCGCCTGCAAACCCGCTCCAGTCCCCGCCTGCAAACCCGCTCCAGCCCCTGCCTGCAAACCCGCTCCAGTCCCCGCCTGCAAACCCGCTCCAGTCCCCGCCTGCAAACCCGCTCCAGTCCCCGCCTGCAAAGCAACTCCAGTCCCCGCCTGCAAAGCAACTCCAGTCCCCGCCTGCAAACCCGCTCCAGTCCCCGCCTGCAAACCCGCTCCAGTCCCCGCCTGCAAACCCGCTCCAGCCCCTGCCAGCAAACCCGCTCCAGTCCCCGCCTGCAAAGCAACTCCAGTCCCCGCCTGCAAACCCGCTCCAGTACCCGCCTGGAAACCCGCTCCAGTACCCGCCTGCAAACCCGCTCCAGTACCCGCCTGCAAACCCGCTCCAGTCCCTGCCTGCAAACCCGCTCCAGCCCCTGCCTGCAAACCCGCTCCAGTACCCGCCTGCAAACCCGCTCCAGCCCCTGCCTGCAGACCCGCTCCAGCCCCTGCCTGCAAACCCGCTCCAGTCCCCGCCTGCAAACCCGCTCCAGTCCCCGCCTGCAAAGCAACTCCAGTCCCCGCCTGCAAACCCGCTCCAGTACCCGCCTGGAAACCCGCTCCAGTACCCGCCTGCAAACCCGCTCCAGTACCCGCCTGCAAACCCGCTCCAGTCCCCGCCTGCAAAGCAACTCCAGTCCCCGCCTGCAAACCCGCTCCAGCCCCTGCCTGCAGACCCGCTCCAGCCCCTGCCTGCAGACCCGCTCCAGCCCTGCCTGCAGACCCGCTCCAGCCCCTGCCTGCAGACCCGCTCCAGCCCCTGCCTGCAGACCCGCTCCAGTCCCCGCCTGCAACCCGCTCCAGCCCCCGCCTGTAAACCCGCTCCAGCCCCCGCCTGCAAACCCGCTCCAGTCCCCGCCTGCAAACCCGCTCCAGCCCCCGCCTGCAAACCCGCTCCAGCCCCCGCCTGCAAACCCGCTCCAGCCCCTGCCTGCAGACCCGCTCCAGCCCCTGCCTGCAGACCCGCTCCAGCCCCTGCCCCTCCAGACCACTCTTATGTAAGTGGAATATATGCTATGTAAGATATTACCCTGAAATTGTCCACTAAATAACATTAACTGAATGCTTCCTTTTGGTTCAACACAGGCTGGTGGTGCACAACGTGATACCACAGAAAGGCATAAGTTTTGTTGGTAACCCTTTTACAATTGAAGACAATCATTTCATTGTACATTAATATATTAATTTATTTATTGTAGTGATAGAGGCAATCTGGGCTGGGGGGAAAAAGGGTGTTTTATGGAGCATGATGGGGCCCTACAAAATTTTCTCTCGGAATTTGAGGCTTCATCTAGCGCCTGGGAAGGAGCTCGAAACTGAGGTTATTATGTTTCCCTACTATCAAATGGGTTTGTATTGTCTGTATAGAAATATACATAAAGATGACTAATAATCTCACTGTTTTTAGATAGTAAATGCATATCTCACCAGCTTGGTAAAAGAGTACACTACACAGTCCAGAAGAGGCTTTGTAGTAGACTCCTACCAAATGAAAGCCATTTGGCTTCAAACAAAAAAAAGGACTGAGGAAGGTAAGCACCCTATCATGCTTTATTCAACATGTGGAAAGGTGCATACCTTCACAGTCATCTGCATTGTTTTAGCTGGATCCACTGGGTTATGATGTCCTACTTGGAGGCTTGTGTTTAAACAAGCACTGTACACTCATAGTAAGTGCCTCACAACATCACATCATCAACTGTTAATTATTAAGATGAACACATTTTTTACATGTGTGCTATATTGCATT